ATTTTCCGTCATTTTTCGTTGTATCTGGGTAAATTTTCTGTCTTTTTTACCAGTGAAACCAGTTGAATTTTTGTGCTACTTTTGTGCTATTTGCAGTATTTTCATTTTGTGTACGTTTTTGGTGTAGTTGGTGGGTTCTTCCTCGGCTGCGCGCGTGCTGCGTGCTGTGGGACGCGCCCCCCGGAGTGCTGGCTGCAGAGCCCGGCGGGGGTGGAGGTGGAGTGGACCGCGCTGATCTCATCTCGCGGCGCGGTCGGCCGTCGTCCTCGGACTCGGCCTCGGCCACGACGACGGCCACGGCGCAGATCGGGTGACATTTGGCCCGTGCATGCATGGCGTGGCTGGCTGGTCTAGCGGTGTAGCGGTGCGGCGGTGGCGCGGCACCTGGTCGTGTTGCGCCGCGACACCATCTAGTGGCCCTGCAAGCCCTGCTAGCCCCGCTTGGCTAGCCTGGCCGGCCGGCCGGGACAATGACACCCCCGTGGTCGTCGTCGTGGTCGTCGTGGCCGCGTCGCCAAGCAGACTGAGTGGCTGTCTCTCTCGGGACGCCCCGCGAGTGCGAGAGAGAGGGACGGCCCGCTGGGCGTGCCGCTGATGCGCGCCATTGTCCACCGCGCCACGCCGCGCCACGCGTGACCTCCGTGTCACGGAGACGGCGCGGAATTCGAAGCCGTTTATTTTCGGTGTCCTTTTTTTTCGGGGTGTTTTCGCAAGGCGCTCGCCGCGAGTGTTTGTGAAAGGGCTCTCGGCCTCTCGGCGCAGTGTGTCAGTGTTTGGACGGACGGCTGGTGGTCATTGTGTCCGTCGCGGCTCGCTGCGCGCCTGGGCGTTGTCCGCGACGCCCCGTTCGGCGGCGCGGCCGTGCGGCCCACTCCAGTGGACTGGACGCCGCCGGGACGCCGCCGGGACGGCCCAGCTGTCAAGACGTACTTAACATACTTACGCCGCCCGTGCCGGCCGTCGCCGGAGTGTGTCCGTCGCCGGGACCGCCCCGCCCCGCCGGCGGGTGGGGGGAGGGGAGGGGGAACCCCCTCGGAGTGGATCGGGAATGAAAGAAAGTCGCGGCGACATTCGCCCGAAATCGGAGACGAGCGGACGCTTTGGCGTGTCGAGAATGTGAAGACGTTTCGGAGGAGGTTTTCCAGTGTGTTGTCCAGTCGGCTTTCCGACTCTCCTAATGGTTGCCGCTGGAGCTGCTGACCCGGTGGCGGCTCGGCTCGGACCGCGGCTCGGACGGCCGGGCCTTGCTGCGGGCCCCGCCCCGCCCGCCCCGCCCGCCCCGCCCCGCCGCAACTGGAACTAGGACCATCCAATCGGCTTAACGGGACGTCTGATGGCTCGCGCAAACAAATGACATGCGAGCAGATAGGAGCCCTGGGCCCGGCTGGGCTGGGCCGGGCCGGCGCCGTCGAGGGCCTCGTTGTGTTGGTTGGGGCCCGCCCGGCCCGGTAACCGCAATCGGCTTGGCCTCGTCGCCGCCCCCGCGCCGCCCCCGCTGCAGGTGCCGCCCGGTGCCGCCGCCCGGACGCTGATTGTCTTTCTAATAGAATCTCTCCCGGGCAACGGCTCGGCTCGCTGCGCCTCGTCCCGGCAAAGTGAGCAGCGGGCGCTGCGGACTGATTCCGAGAGTCGTCGCTCTGTCTCTCTCGCACCTTTGGGGGACGCCCCACGAGTGCGAGAGAGACAGGGCGACGAGACGGCTGCAGCGGGCCCGCGGCATTCTGCCTGGACCGCCGGCGTCCTGGAGTCCGCGTCCGCGGCGTCGCTGTGGTCGCGGGGGAGGGGGGGGGGAGGACGCCGTCGTAGCCGCCTGCCTGGACGCACACTGTTTCGACGGGCGCTGTGCGTGGGCCGGCGGCCCGAGAGACTCTGCGAAGTCAAGTTGAAGTTCAGGAAGGCCTGGAAGTCGGCCACTTGCCCACCGGCGTGCCTGTCCGCCTCCCAAATCTGGAATTTGTTGAAAGTTTGTCCGAAGTGGAAAGACGGGCGGGCAGGGGGTGGGGTAATGGAGCGACGCGGCGGCACGGCGGCGTAAGGCGTAAGTGCGGACGGGGAAAGGGGATGGGAGGGGGAGGGGGGGCTAATATTGGCGGCCGTTTCCTGGTTCGGCTCGCGGCCCTCGCGGGGGGTCGCCGCTTCGCCGCCGCGCCGCTGCAGTGTGGCGCGCCGATGTAGGGCCGGCACGCGAGGCTGCGGCGAGGGGACCTTGTCGTCGCCGAGGAGCAGCGGCGGCTGTGGCAGCAGCGGGGCGAGAAGAAGAAGGCCGCGCTGCGCGCTGGGCGCTGCGACACTGCCAGCGCTGCTGCCGCGGGGTGCGGGAGTGCGGGGCCGCCGGGGCCGCCAGGGCCGGGGCCTGCACTGTGTTTACGAGTCTGTGGGGACGCATTCCCTGTTCGGGACGTCCCCGCCCTGCGAATCGGATCGCCTCTTGTTGTTGTTGTTGTTGCTGGTGGTGGTCTTGTTGGTGTCGCGGGCCCCTCGCAGTGGTGCGACGCGGAGATAGGGCTCTGGGTGTGCGGCCCCCGCCTCGGCCCCCGCCGGCCCAAGCCTAGCCCCCTGCTGCTGCGAAGAATTGATTCTTCTCCTGGTTGGAACCGCTCCAGTTGTTGTTGTTTTTCGTTTTAGTTTGTTTCTCTCCGCCCGCTCGCTTTCGCGCTCTGGCTCCAGCGCCGCTCCAGCAGCGCTCCAGCAGCGCGACGAGTGCCACAGTGTGGCGGGCGGGCCGGCCGGCTGGAGCGGACTGGAGTACTAGCAGTGGTACTACAGCCGTTATCAGCAGCGGGCCGTACTCGCCAAATGCGGTGCCACTTGGAAAACGGAGTCATAACGCGCAGGCGGGGCGGGGCGGCCGGAGAATGCGCGCTCGCCGTCGGTTTCTCGCCCCGTAAAAGCAGACGGCGTGCCGCGTTGTGCCGAGTCGTTGCCGGCCGAGTTTAAAAATTTTACGTTTGCCAATTATTTGTCTCGGGATGCAGACGGTGAGTGAGTCGGTTCTGTGCAGGGCGAGGGACTGCTAGCAGTGGAGTGGTGCCTACCTCGCAGGCGCACGCTCAGGGGGTCCTTGTTGTTGTTGCTGATGGGTGTGTCGCGCTCGGTGCGCGTGGCTCTTGTTATTTGCCCGACAATTATCTTTTATGCGCATCACATGCAAACGGGCCCGCTGCTGCAAGCTTGCTGGGCTCGCTGAGGAGCTCGACCGAGATTGAAAAACAAAACGAAAGCAAAGCAGGAATCAATTTGGCGGATGAGCAAATACGGGGGACACGCCCGTGAAGGCACTCACACCAAGACACACACACACAGGCACACACGCACACACACACACGCACACAGCCACACACGCACACACGCACACACACACACACACACACACGCTCACGCTCGAATGTGTGCGCGCGCCATCACGAGCGGCGAATTTTTGGGGCCCAGATTGGAAAGGTGCAATTATATTGCCTCGGTGGCAGACAAATTACACGGATGCAGGCTGGCCGAGCCCGGCCTTGATAAGAACGCGGGCCTGTCCACAGAAAGGGGGCGTGGCCGTGGCGGCGACTCTCTGTCTCTCTCGCACTCGCGGGGCGTCCCGTGTAGGTGCGAGGGAGACAGAGCGACGAAAGCGACTCTCGGAATCAGTCTCCGAAAACGGAGCGCAATCATTTGGGGGGAAGAGGGGGGAGCGAGCTGATGCGCCGAGTTGACAGCGGTTGACAGGGATTTCGGTCGAGATTTGCATGGCGATAGGCTGACGACGCTCGGAGGGGAGCTTCGGCGAGATTTTTGTTTTGTTTTGTTGGCAGTGTCGGAAGGGTGTTTCCCTCCTCCAGGACCCCGGGTTCGGGCCTTCGGGCCGGCTCTAAAATATCCCTCGCGCCTGGCGGGCTGCCAGTGTGGGCCCCCCTCCCCCGGCTTCGGCTATGACGAGCTGCAGCCGGGTAAACAACGGGGTGGGAATCCTCGTGGCGAACGGCCGCCGCGGTGCGGGGCGCTGCAGAGCGTTCCAACGACAGTGTGTTGGAAATGGTGGCAGCAGGTGTGTGGCCCCACGCCCGCCGGTGTAGTAGTACAGACGCTGGCCAATTAATGGCGCGTGTGTGTGAATGTGTGTGGCTGTGTCCATATCGTGCCTCTGCTGCCCGCTATAGCTCTGTCCCAACATGGCACCTGGTACCTCCGGGCTGCGTCCGCACTGCGCTGCTCTTCGGAGGCGACCCCCAGGGCGTGGCGTGGCGTGGCGTGGCGTAGCCCCGAGCCATATAGGATACGTTGGACACAAATCAATTCTATCGGACTGGGATTGCCGTGCGTCGCCTTGTTTGCGTTGAGCTAATTTATCGCGCTGGGTGGGGCAACCTCTGGAGGGAAGCTCGCGGCAAGCTTGCAGAAAGGTGGCGGAAAGCTTGTTGGAAGTTCGCTGAAAGCTCGCGGAAAGCTTGCAGAAAGGTGGCGGAAAGCTTGTTGGAAGTTCGCTGAAAGCTCGCGGAAAGCTTGCGGAAAGCTTGCGGAAAGCTCTCGGAAAGCTCTGGGAGGAAAAGGGAAAGCCAAGGCTGGTCGCTCGCCCCCTCTCTGCCGGCTCGAAGCGCTCGAAGCGCTCGAAGATGGCCCTTCGCGAGGCCGGGCCTGGCGGGGCTCCCCGGGAGGGGCTAAGGGGCCCAAGGGCCCCCAGACCCCATCCAGGAGAGGAAGGGCGATGCTATCAGCTTCTCCGAACAGTCGTTGCACCGAGACCAGGGCGCGCTGCGAGGCTGGCTGGCTTGGTGGCTGGCTCAAGCCCCGCGTGACGACGTATGGTGCGGGCCGCGGCGACCCAACCGTGTGGCAGCCGGAGTCGTTCTGTCTCCCTCGCACCGAGCCCAGCGCGGCCGTGGCCTTGTTGGGCCGTGGGCGGACTAGTGCGCGGACAACAGTGTGCCTCCCTCCGCGTGTTGCAGGCGACAGCGGGGTGTGCGTCGTGGGGCTGTGGACATGACGACTAACCTCTCTCCCTCCTTCTTGTGTTGCAGGCGACATCCTGAGCGGCGTGTGCTTCGTGGGGCTGTGGGACATGACGGCGCTGCGCGGCTTCGTGCTGCTGCCGCTGGCCGTGTTCCTGGTGCTGGGCACCGCCTTCCTGGTGGCGGGCTTCTTCTCGCTGTTCCGCATCCGGACCGTGATGAAGCACGACGGCACCAAGACGGACAAGCTGGAGAAGCTCATGATCCGCATCGGCGTGTTCTCGGTGCTGTACGTGGTGCCGGCCCTCATCGTGCTGGCCTGCCTCTTCTACGAGCAGTCGTACTTCGACCACTGGATGCGCACCTGGCAGCAGGAGCGCTGCAAGCACCACAGCGAGGTGGCGTGCCCCGCCGGCCACGTGGACACGCGCAAGCCCGAGTTCGAGGTGTTCATGATCAAGTACCTGATGGCCCTCATCGTGGGCATCACGTCCAGCTTCTGGATCTGGTCCGGCAAGACGCTGGGCAGCTGGCGGGAGTTCTGCCTCCGGTTACGCGGCCGCCGCGTCGAGGCGTACGTCTAGCCAGGACTCTTTCATTTTTTTTTTTAATTTTCGTCTGTTGTGCGGATTTTTAACTTGAAAAAAAAAACTGCCAGATGATAGTAGACGTAGACGTATCGGCAACTGTCATTTTTTATTATTTGAACGCGAAATGCTCATTTCTGTTTTTTGAACGTTTAAAAATGATTTTGATACTACCACCATTTGTCCTTTTGATGCGTTTGTACTTGGGTAATTTATTGTGCGTTTTTTCCCATGAAGAATTTACCAATCCGTACTTTTAGTGTAGCAGCTATGTCGACGCGGGCGAATATGCACATTTGTTTCTATACATATTTGTACAAATGATAGGCGTCTCTTTTTTTTGTAAAGTAAATGCAGTATTTAAAATGTTGTGAATAGCTGTGTAATAGGTTTAGCTTTTCGAGCAACGAGGACGCACCCAAAGGCTGTCTTGGGAACGCCCAACCCACTGCCACTGCGTGCCGACGGCAATAATGCGTTAAGACTGATGAGCACTTTTTGACTGTAGTTTTGTTGTTTTTGTACTGGCCGTTTTGCCATAGAATTGACATCGAATGTACTGCTACGGCACACTGGTGCTGTCCCCTTTTCTATTGGACTTTGAGCCGAATCGACGAACAAAAGCCACCCGCGCTGAACTGATTTCTGAGACGGCCTTTTGGTGCGCCCGCTGCTCTGTCAATTAATGTGATATGTTTATTTGTAATGTGTACATTTCTGCCTGTAATAAGCTTTGTTTCTGAGACTGTTCACCAAAGACTGGCAGCCGACAGAACTCCGGTGATTTTGGTTTACACTTCACACCAGTGGCACAAATGCCTTATCGTAGTAACGTGTGCCTGTGTGAGTGCGAGCTGTGTATGTGTGTGGTGTGTGTGTGAGTGATGTATCCACTGCGCCGGTGACCATCTTTTAACGAATTTTTGTTTTACTAACTGTATTTTTGCGGAAGTCTTGAAAGTTGTGTACGTATACTGGCGTGGCATTGGTTCGAGTGTAGCGAGGGATGTCCTTTAACAAGGTCTGGGACGGGATGGCCGACGCAGATAGCTGGCCGTACTCGCGCCATAGTGCACGGACGGGCCTGGAGCCCGCCTGGAGCCTGCCTGGAGCCTGCCTGGAGCCTGCCTGGAGCCCGGCCGGCTCGTCGATGCAGCGAGACAGTCGCACTCCCCGAGCAGTGTGACCATTATTTCTGTGGGCAAGGTTGGCAAGGCCACGCTGGAAATCCTAATGGGTGTGGCGAGTCCCTCCGGGCTCCACGGAGGCTCCACGGAGGCTCCAGCCTTGGCTCCAGCCCCCGGGGCGACATTCCTGGAACGGGAAACTGGAGGGAAAACGCGATGCTCGATTTCCGTGGCGATGACCGTCGATAACACGGACACTTTCCTTCCTCATTAGTCTAATGCCATGCAAGTGTGTGTGAGAGTGAATGTTGTTGTTGTTGTTGTTTGGCTGGCGACTGGTGAACACGTTGCAAAACGATTTACTCATACGACGCGCCGGTGTAAAGTTAGTCGCTCCGACTGGCGCACTTAATAATTGCATTTGTAAATATCCTCTAGTCGAATGTGTGTGTGTGTGTGTGAGAGAGAGAGAGAGAGAGAGAGTGCATGGAAGCGGCAACGCTTTGTGGTGTGCAAGAAAGATTGTTTTGACGCAATGATGGGTGATTGCTGTACGCTTAGTACAAATGCACGCTTCGCAGGGCGGCCGAGCCGTTGGGCCCACCCTGCGGAGCGATGCTGTTCTCCTGTTGAAAATTTGGAAAGTTTGGCCTTGGATTGAAATTTGTGTTGGTTAGTTTAGTTTGAGGTGGATGCACCTCGGCCATTTCAGAGTGCTATTATAGTGAGCGCCGCAAGCGAGTCACGTTTGTTTAAATTGTGTGCATAATTCATGTTGTGTAAAGTATTTTTTATAGAGAGTTTGTATGAGTGCGTTTTGTTGGAAGGTTGCTGGGCTCTGAGACCCTTTACTGTTGCCTTTCTTTCCCCACCGTTACGTTATCTTGATTTGCCTTATTTCCGTCCTTGCCACTTCTTCTTGAAAAATGAAGTTTTGTTGAAAGTTGAATGGGCAACTTGCCATTTATTGAGCGTTTACAAACGGCGCTTTGTTACAGTATTTTCTGTTTATTTTTCTTTTACTATGTTCTTACTGTTTTCAGTCTGAAATGAATTTTATGTGATGAACCTGTACTGCCTGTTTCGGTACCAATCTGCTTACTGTATCTCCCTATAGTATGTTTCCTCATTTCTACTTCTCGTCTGTATGCCATGACCATTGTCAACAAATCACTGTATGCAATAAAGACACGTTCCTCAATAGTTGGACTATTTTTTTTTTCACCCCCTTTCCACGCGCTGCTTCGGAAAGCTGCCCCGCTTCCTCAGGTCATTAAGTCCTTTCTTCCAGTGTGAGCGCTGATCGGTGATTGGTGGGACAAGCGGGCGAGGGGTGGGGGTTGGTTGGGGTGGGCACGTAGGGCAGTAACCGTAAACCAGGGGCGGTGCCCAAACAGTGAGACAGTGGAGCACCCAGCGATTCAAAAAATGGTCGAGCGCTTTTCAACCACACTTCAGCACTGAAATCACGGTGCAAAGTTCTACTGATCTGCCGAGTCTTATCCAAATCACATAGAAAATTTCGAAATTGCATAAGGGGCCACGCTACATTGGAGGGGAAAAAATGCACCCTGGTGGATACTGCAAAGCTACTTCGTGCCTAAAAGAAAAGCAGGCCCCAGAGAAGAGCGAGACGGTCTCATCACGCGAGTCGAACAGAGACGGACGAGCGGGTGAGGTCCAAGGTGTCGAAGGCAACAAGCAGCCGGTTTTAAAAAGGCAGCGAAAATTCAAGTAAAGTGACCACGCGCCTCTCGCATCCCCCTCGCACTGCTCGCTAGCTGCGCTGCAGCTCTGCAAATTTTCCCGCGTACACGCCTTGCTGTGTCGCTGGTGTGGTGCGGTGTGTTCCGACGGAGCCTAACGCCACTGTTTAGGGGCATTTAGCAGCACACACACACACACAGGCCGTGCGCGTTGTCACTGTACACCCCCTTGGCAAGCTCGTGCAGATGATATCCTGGCGGAGGTTTCCTGAGGTTACACACAGTGTCCGTGCGTGTGTGTGTGTGTGTGTGTGTAAATGTGCGTGCGTGCGCCCCGATGCCATCTCGCAGTGCGTTGTCCAGCCAGGGCGAGGTCTCGGCCGCCTCGGCCAGGCACGGCGGCGTAACTTGAAAACATTTTACTTTTACGGCTCCTCAGATAGGCCAGCCAGCCCGCTGCAGTCCAGCCTCGAGTCCAACCTGGCGGCGGTGGTGGCAGCTCTGTGCCGTACTGTGTGCCTGTCGGGATTTACAGGGGCACCAGCAGCCTGGCACTGCCTGGCATGGCAGCGCAGGCATTCTCTCTCTCTCTCTCTCTCTCTCTCTCTCTCTCTCTCTCTCTCTCTCTCTCTCTCTCTCTCTCTCTCCTGCAGAGGGTGCGTTCGCCACCCCTCGCTCCGCGAAGGGATGAAGCCTTTTGTGTGGGAGATGATGGGTTCGGCGGGCCTTTCCGCGCGAAACACACGCCAACGCACCACGCGCACCGCGGCCCGACGGGGGCACTGGCAGGGCACTGGCAGGGCACTGGCTGTGGCAGAGCAGGCGCTACAGGCGGGGGTGGGGGTGGGAGGCACCAATGACCGGGCCGTAAGGGTTGACGGCACGGCAGCGACCCTGCGAGGGGGAGAGAGAGGGGGGGGGGGGACGCGGAGCCTGGCCGCGCTATAAAATGGAGATAGGAACCTGTTACAAAGTTCGCGTCGTGAAATTCTTTTACGAGTCGCGAGCCACAATAATAATCGATGAGTATGGCACCCCGCTGGTGCCGAGACGTCGCTTCGGAGAGCTCCCTTTCGCAATCCGACGCAAGAATGTTTCTCCTCCCTTCTACACCGAAATACTGAGAAATGGACCGCTCGAAGTTTGACTGGACGCCCAACGCAGCGGTGTGAGAAATTTGAGAAGAAAATACCACTGTTTACGAATTTGTTTGTTTTTATTTTTTGAGTCGTCGGGGCGTGTACTCTCTGTCCGGGGGCGGTCTCCGCGGGGCTTTAGCTGGGGCTCTGGCGGGGAGTCGCACCGCGTCGCGAGGCCAGCGTCCACCGGGAACACCAAGCCGCGGCCCGCCCCGCCCCGCCCCGCCACGCCCCGCTGTCATAAGGAACTTGCACAGCGCATCGCTTGGTTCTTGTTATTAGACCGGCAGGTTGGTCTGGCAGGCTGGCGGAGTGGGCACGGCGCGGCTAAGGCTCTACTCATGCGGCAAGCCTGGCAAGCCCACCCATGCGGCAGCGCCGCGCAGCGCCGACCGCTCCGTCTGTGTGTGTGTGTGTGTGTATGTCACTGCGAATGTGTGCGTGTATGCAAGTGCGTGCGTGTCGCAAAGGAAAGGGGACGCCTCGCCGCATCGGATACCCAGTGTACCCACACCCGCCGAGGGTCCCATCTTATTATTGCGCCGAGGAAATCGAGTAATTGTCGCAAAAAAACACTTTTAAAAACATTTTTACTGTTTTTGTTGTTTTTGTCTTTTTTTTTGCAGTGGTGCAGCCTCTTTAGAACGACGCCTCGCCGCGCGCTTTCGTGCTTTCGCGCTCTTAACGACACACGCGTCGTCACGTTGGCGGGATCTTTCAAATTCTGCTCGTTTTGGCGCCGTTTAACGCGCCGCCGTAAAAGACACGTGACGGTCGCGCGTCGTACAGTCGCCTGCAAGAGTGTCGGACCGCGCGCCACACTGGGAAAAGCGGACGAAAGCCGTTACCGAATTTTTGTTGTTGTTGTTTTTCAAAAGAAGGCAGTGACGTCACAGCGCGCCCTGCCGAGCCGCCACTTACCGGCCAGGCCAGACACCGCCGCCCTGATTGGTTGATAAACGCGTCTCCGCGCCAATGAGCGCGCTGCCTTTTCACGTAATGCGATTAGCCTAGGCGGTTCAGTCACCGCGATTCTTTCAGGCTCAACGGAGAAAGTGTGTGTCTCGGCGCGGCGTCTGTGTGTGTGTGTGTGTGTGTGTGTGTGTTGCGATGGGTATACTTAACTCGAAAGTGTGCGCGCGCGTCCCCTCAATAGATCCCCTTTGCTGATGTTGTTTCTTTTTTTTTTTGCAATAATTTTCTTGTATTCCCTTCCCCTGTGCGAAAATTGCGGCGCTGACTCCGCATTGTTTTCCTACCGCAGCAGCAGCGAATGCAGGTGCGCATCGCGTGCATTGCTGCAGCATTCATTCATTCATTCATTCATTCATTCATTCATTCATTCATTCATTCATTCATTCATTCATTCATTCATTCATTCATCGGCGCGGTCTTCATCTCGATCTTTCGCAGTGCCGTGGCTGGCCTGGCTGGCGGACCGTGAACCTAACAGGCCGAATGCATCTATCCGTGGAGCGCGCAGTTACCGGCAGCGGGACAACTTAATTTCGGAATTGAATTTCAGCCGGTCGCCTTCCGGTGTGCCGTCCGGGCCGGATGATGCCGAGCGGTCGCCGTTTGGTCGCTCCGTCTCCCTCGCACTCGCGGGCCGGGCCGTAGGGGTGCGAGAGAGACGGAGGCAGACCACGCGCCGCTCTCGCCGCTACACTGCCGAAAAGCGAGTCAGCGCCGCGTGAAATCGCTAATGCGACCCCATCACTGTAAACACTGTCATGCCGCCGAAGCGCCCCACAGTGGGCCAGAAGACCGGTGGAGGCGGCCAAAACTCTAGACGCGTTTTGAGCTCCAGAGTCGCTAAATGGGACTCGAACCGAACGTGTGGCCCCACCAATGGATTCCTCTTACGGAGAGCTATCCATTGGTGGGGTCACACGGTCGGTTCGAGTCCCATTTAGCGACTCTGGAGCTCAAAACGCGTCTCGAATTTTGGCCTCTCAACCGTTCTGCTGGCCCACTGTGCGCCCGTCTCTCCGGTACTCGCCGGGCGTCCCGAGGCGGTGCGAGAGAGACAGCAGCCGGCCGACGTAGCGCCTGCGGCACGGAGGGTAGGCAACCCACGCACCGGTGTGTTGCGGCCGCGGCCCGTGCCTACCTCGCAGGCGCTTCGAAACGGGCAAAAAACAAAAACATGCCGCGCTGCAAAATGCAGTCACCTGGTGAACGCGACGAAGGGCGAAGAATGTGGCGCCCGTCCCGTTTCTCTCACACTCTTCAAAAAGCGTGCAGCCACTGCGGGCTGGCGTGCCGGTGCACTTTTAAAAAAAAGTGCTGTAAATTACAGCACTTATGCGGAGTTGAAGCAGCACGACTTGTTTATTACAGCATGTTGTAGCCCTCGGTGCTGTTCTGACAGTTCGAGTAAGAAACAATACTTCTTTGGAGTCTTCGACGATGTCTTCCAACTTTTTGTGATTTCATCGTGCTGTTTTAACAAGACCCTTGTAACCTGACCAATGTTTTAAGATTGCATAAGGCTGTTTCAACATGAAACCTGTTCAACGACACACAACTATTTTGAATCACGATTACATTGTTGTTACTTGACAAGGAATTGTTATGAAACGAGTGCTGTTTCTGGTGGGTTTCCTGTTCAGCACAAAACAATACTGCGTTTTTAACAGCATTACTGTAGGTGATTGTGTTGTAATATTACAGTGGATTTTTAACAGTGTGCTAGGCTTGGCCGGGCTTGGCCGGTGGGCCGCCACTGGAGGATGGCCGGGATGGCGGGGTTCAATACGGCGGCCCAGATCTCCACGGCAGCGTGACGATTTATGGAAAAGCAACGCAAGGCGCGGCGCGCGGCCCGCTGCGCAGCGCGAGCCACACCGCGGCAGCGCGCACAGGTGTTGTTGTGTCGACACCTGCAGCGCGGCTCCAAGACGGACCAAGCTCGCCGGACTCAACTCTGAATTGTATTCAAATCGGTCCTGTGATCCCACCAATGGATTCCTCGCTCCGAGAGCAGTCCGTCGGTGGGGTCATGCGTCCGATTCGGGGTCGGTTTGACGTGCTGAGAGCCAAAGTCACGTGAGCTCGGCGGTCACCATGGTAACGCACAGCTGAGCGGTTCGCACGGACCGCAGCATCGCACGTAACAATGCGCCCCGCCACGGCCGCCACGGCACTGGAGTGAGGCCAGCAGACTGATTTCCGAGAGTCGTTTTCGTCGCTCAGTCTCTCTCGCACTCATGGGGCGTGCAGTATAGGTGCGAGAGAGACAGAGCGACGACTCTCGGAATGAGTCTGCAGCGGCCGGGCCGGCCAGCGTCGTGGGAGACTTCGGGTCGGGGCCGCGGCGGCCGCTGGGACGCCGGCACTGCAACTCCACACACGT